GTATGTTACTCCCTCCCTGACGCCTAGCAGAGGGGGTCGTAACAATAATAAAACTCTTTCATACTATTAATACTGTGCAGTAAAGCTGAACGGTGATACCAGCACTTTTCACACGACACTTTTAGATGTGACACGCTGCAGCACATTTTTGGTTCTTAGCGTTAGCGTGAGCTTGAAGTCTGCATTACTGGTATTCTAGCGCTGAAATATGCCTCACTAATGATCCATAACTCTAAAATCATATTAGGTGCATTATGCCAAGTAGAATGAGAAAAAAAGACTTAATGGTGGGGTTTTTTTCAACTGAAATAAAATAAAAACCAGACTAGAAAAAAGAATGTATCCATAAACGAATTAAACACATTGTTGCTGAGACGTCTACCTGATTGTAAGTCATCACACTTCATAAGTATTATTAATTACTACACTATTATTTACACAGATGTGAAAACTAAGTTTAAAAAATATATAAATAAACCAATACAAGTGAAAACATTCTGGAAAATAGTTTTTAAGAAGTTTGTATAGTTGCAGAGATTATTTAGGTGCCTTATTTTTGCGACAGAATATGAGGTTTTGTTATACAGTTCACTTTACCGACAAGAAAATTTCAGTAATGTTTTTCACAAGAGCTGTTATAAAAGTGAAAGCATATCTGTAGGCTGAATTCTGTAATCTATTTTAAGCTCTAAACATTCATTTGCTGCTAGAGTCGGGTTCTTTATATGAATTTTTCATCTGCTTATCATCCATTTACAAAATCTAACAGAACTTAATTAACCAACATGTCAAATCTTTATAATTTATGCACATTTAATCTACAGTTCAAAACATTCTTCTTTACAGTCTCAACATAAAATGCTCCCACATCTCTCTACTGTTTCTGATTGTCAAACAACAGTTTGATTGTTCACAGAAGTCACTTCATCTAGTATTAGTGCACAAACAAGAGCTAGCTAAACAAAGGAGCAAAGTCATAATCATTATCAGTTATTGTCATAAATGTAATGGATAGAGGGAGTTTCCACTGAGTGTTTTACTGTTATATCAGCCTATCTGCTTTCGCTTCCTCGTTTTGGTGAACATATAAATGCTGCAGATTAAGTCATCTTCCTGAATCGTCATACAACACACATGCAACATGTACACTCGTAAGCTTATCCTGTTTGTGGCTGCCTCTCTTTTCAGTCCAGGTGAGCTGCAAAGGTCTTCTGTTTGAACAAATCAGTGAAATATTAAATTCGAATTATTATGTTTAACGTCAGTACATTTCTTTCTTTTTGTTTCAGTTCTCACAGATGAAGACTTTTACCAAGTGAGAGCATGCTGTACATTCAAAGGGCCACACTTTGAAAAAACCGAGTACATATTAACTAGTATTTTTAATAAGAACTTGATGATGGAGTACAACAGCACAAGAGGCAACTGGACGGGATTCACAGCGTATTCAATTGAAGCAGCAAAATGGTGGAACAGTGATCCCTTTGATGCACTAACAAGAAAGATTGAAAGGAAACTGTTGTGTACGGACACATCAGACCTCATCCAATCCATATGTAAGAGATTTGTTTCTTAATAATGTTTTAAAATGTTGAATGGAGTTTTGATGCCGTGAAATTTTTACATCAAATATTTTTCTGATAATTTTTGATGACATAAGATTATTATATTTATTTTACTGTAAATAAAAATAGTACTTCATTTGTTTTGCTCAGTTGCATGACATTACAGTTGATTTCCAAGTATGCCATAATTGACAACGATTCTA